CTGTAACTTGCAGCCAAACCTAAATACAAATTCTGTCTCAATAAGTGCAGATCTCAATCAGGATATTGCTATTTTAATCATATTGGAAACGTGTATTTCCTCACCACAAATTTGCAAAGCACTGACTACAGAATACGATGTTCTCATTATAATGAGATAGAGAATAATAGAATGGAGCATCTTTCTCTTAATCTATAAGCAGAACATGTGTCTTATATTTTGCATTTTTTAAAAGAAACAAAACTATTAAAAATAAAATGAATAAAACCTGTGTTTAAATATAACTTTAAATAAATTATTAGAGGCATCTCAATTACTAACTAAAAACAAAAAAACAACACCTCAACACATATTCTTACTTTTACTGTGAAGTATGTGCAGCATGGATAGAATCAAACAGAAAACAAGAGATTTTAAAATACTTTTAAAATTTATTATTAAATAAATCTCAAAAAACTTCAAAAGATATATATCTAAAAAGTATTTTTGACCATGACGGATACTGAATCAGAGATCAATAACAAAGGACATCTAGATTACTTGCGAATATTTAAAAATCAACTAACATATCTCTAAAATAATCAATTAGACAAATAAAAAAATCACAAAGTTTTAAAATATTTTGACTAAATAAAAAATAAAATTTCAAGAATTTTGTATGAAATTGAAGCTGTGGTTAGAGCAAAATGTATAGTTTTAAAGGGCTTACATGAAAAGAAAGTTTAAAATCAATTAGTTGAGTTTTAACATTAAAAATCTAGGGAAAAAATTTACCCCAAACTATGCATAAATAAAGAAAAAGTGGATAAGCAATATGAAAGAGTGAATAAAATTAAGATATGGTCTTGGAAAAAAGTCAGTTAACTCGATGAAACCCAAGTTAGTGTGATTAAGAAAAAAAAAAAGAAAACACGAATTATATTAGAGATAAAAGAGATGATATCACTAGACATCCTAGTCACTTTTAAGAAAAATAATAAAGATTATAAAAAACTTTATGAAAAATTAATCAATTTCAATGAAAAGATTAGAAAAACAAAAATAACCAAAATCTAAATATCCTTATATCTTAAATATTAATATAACAATAATATCTAAAATATTAATATTATTAAACACCTTCCCCAAAGAGAAGTCTAAATGCAGATAACTTCACTGGTTAATTCTATCAAATAATTTAGAAAGAATTACTACTAATTTTCCAAAGTCACCTTTAGAATATTTTATGAGGCCTATGTTACCCTGATAATGAAACTAATCAAGGGAATTACAAGAGAAAACAACTGAAGACCAATGTTCCTCTTATATATGGAGTCAAATGTTAGAAGAAAAATTCAGCAACAAATAGGATAAATACACAAAAAAGGAGGATGCATTATGCCCAAATGTGTTCATCTCAGGGAAACAATGTTATTTAAGCAATTGAAAATCAATAAATGTATTTTGACATATCAACAGAATAAAGTAGGAAAAACACATGATCATCTCAATATGTGAAGAAATTTATTCATGATGTAAACTTTGGCAAACAAGGAATAAAAAAGAACTTCAATCCGATTAAAAGCCTCTATGAAAAACCTTTACCTAACGTAACACATTTAATGACGAATTATTAAAGATTTTGTTCTTAAATCAGCAAAGACAGACACACATTACACTTCTATTTTACCACTGTCATGGAGGTCCTAACCACTACACTAAGGCACAAAACAGAAATCGAAAAATTGTAAAGTTTTAAAAGGAAAATGTAAAAGTCAATTGTACATGCATAAATTCTAATAAAGCTAAATTAAAATTCTCCAAACCAATGTTAGTTTAGTAAAGTGGTAGGACATAATTTCAATATAAAATAATCAATAAAATTTCTATATATTTTGCCACAAACAACTGAAAATTTCATAATCATATAAACAGGCACAATTAGGAAAAACAATAAAAGTCAGTATATTTGCACTTAATAATATCTCCAAAAAATATTGAGGGAACACTGCATTTTGAAGGATTCTAACCAATCAGAATAATTCAGGCATCTCAACAAAATAAACTGCTTTCAAAATTGAACAAAGAATAAGTTGGCAATATTCAGGAATAAGTGGAGGTTCCAAAGAGCTATTAATATTTAAGATCTAATCCTTCCTGTTATTTCTTCACCATGTAACTGTTATCATCATTATATTCAGTATCACAAGCAATATGTCATCATTGTAAAAAAGTATAATATAATCAAAGATAAAAAATTTAATATGTAATGCTCTATATTATTCACATTAGCTATATAAAATGTCTGTTTAGATTAACCAAAAAAAAAAAGGCATAAACCTGATTGCAGAAAATTTATTTGGAATGTGATCCAAGGAAGCAAGATTAAGGGAGTAGGGACGGAAAAAGAAAAAATGGGGAAAAATCAACCTAGTTTGTTTTATTGAGATGGCAATAGTGACTTCATTCTGCTGGGACCACAAACAAATGTACAGAATATTTAATGAATTGTCCTTAGAAGGTCAGGAAGTTGGTGTTCCAATAAAGTGGTTGAAAGTTGCCCCTGTGAAGGGGGTGACTACCTTCATTTTAGGACTGTTTTATAGCTAGCCAGTTTTAGGGAAGAAGCTGGTTAACATTCACAGGTTTTAAAATACTGACTAGGCTGCTGAGTGTTTCTTATGAAGGAATTACTTTCTGGTGAGCTGTGAACTTAAGATATAAAGATCCACATACTTTGTGCCCACCCTAGATCAGTTCACATGCCTATACTTCCTCCTTGTCTCTAAATATTCAATCTTTTAGCATCCAAATCCTTGACCAAATACCCGAGTCATTTGCCACTGCTCAGGTTATGTAGATCCCAAACTCTGGTACTTCTCTCATACAAGGTGGAAAGCCAAATGTATTGTTTGCAAAAATGGCCACTGGGACATTTATCATTTTCCTCTGTCTTTAAGACTTAATTTAATTGGAGACTAATATGGAACAGTAATTATTTTCTTATTCCAACTAACCTATTGAGAGAACCCGTTCTTGAAACAAGGCAAGTTTTTCTTTTGCTAGCAGCTAGTTTTAAGAAACCCCCATTTGGCCATTGGTATGAAATAATTGAGAAATATTGATGCAATAGATGTGAGTGTCATGGGGATTGGGGATTCCTGTTCATGTTATTTACTTGTGCTATCTGGATCTTTCTTAGCTTGCTCTCAGGTATACCATTCTGGTCGTCAGATAGATTAATGTGCCCACTTTATCTTACAATTCTACAGATCTGAAAATACACAAATCATGATGAAAACATTCAACTTCAATAACATAGTCACTTACTGTTTCCCAGATGTATGTTCAACTCTACAAGAGTCCAGTAGCCCACCAGGAGCTACAACAAAATTCTAGGAGTTTCCACTAAAAATTTATCAATATTTGTCAGTGATTCCACATGAAACCTAATCTTCCAGGAATATCTTTAGTTTTATTGTATCTTAATGGTCTTAAGTACCAAAGAACAAGGCATATTGCATCACAGCCTGCATCTGCTGCAGTGCCCTCTCTGTACATCATCTTCTGCCAAAGGCATCCTTGTGGCTATCAGATCACTTATTGATCCAGTTCAACAATCATTTCATAAAAGTTTGTTACTATAGCTACTTCTGAGATAACTATGTTTATATTAGTTCCTCTCAAATAAGAGACTGAGATAAAAATTTTAGTGCAAGAATTTTAAGGAAATGATTGTGGAAGCAGGACTGAAGGAATAGAAGGAGTGAAATGTTATCAAGTTTGCTGCTGCAGACAATGGGACTTTATTTTCTAAGACATTTGAAAAGCAGAACATGCCTACAAAAATTGTCTATCAGAAGGATAAGGGCCTATCACTAGATAATTGGATAAAGAAGATGTGGTACATATATACAGTGGAATATTACTCAGCAATAAAAAATGATATCTTACCATTTGAGACAAATAGATGGACCTAGATGGTATTATGGTAAGTGAAATAAGACAGAAAGATTTCACTTATATGTGAAATCTAAAGAACAAAATAAATAAACAAACAAAATAGAAACAAACTCATAGATCCAGAGAACGAACTGATGGTTGCTAGATTAGGCAGTGGGAGGATGAGGTTGGGATGCTTAGTAAAAAAGTTTAAGGGGTTAAAAAGTATGAATTGGTAGTTACAAAATAGCCATAGAGATATAAAGTGCAGCATAGGAAATATAGTCAATAATACTAAATAACTGTATAGCATCAGGTGGCTACTAGACTTATCGAGGGGATCACTTTGTAAATTATATAAATGTCTAACTACTATGCTGTACGCCTGAAATTAATATGAAATAATATTGAATGTCAACTAATCAAAACATAAAAATAAAAAAAGTAAGGTGAGGCATTTTAATTTTAAAAAATTAAAAAAGAAAAAGATAAGAGGTTGATCCAGTCAATGACTGAACGATGGTTTTCCTAAACCCCTACTATTTTGTCCTGATTCTATAAAATCTCATAGTACACTCTAAGAATAATAATGATAATAGCAAAAAAATTCACTAAATCTTTGAAGCATGATAAGGATACTGCAAAGGGTCTTCTCTAGTGACAAGAAAAAGCTGAATAATAGCATCTATGAAATCAGGAGATGCCAAGACCTCAGGCCGAACCAGGGCAGAGTAAAGGAGATTCATGCACACAAGGCCATACTAATAAATTATTCTTGTATAGTGATCAGAAGCCTATATTTGGTTTCTCTAATAAGGCCATAAATTGTAAAATCATGCAAATAAAGACAATGATAAATGAGAGATTAGTTTGCATATGACAAAGCAAGTATGACAAAGCAAGTAGATTAGGAGATATTGAGATAGATATACAGCACAGGCATGGGATTATACATTTTGACCTGGGGATCATTGGTCACAGTTGATATTCAACCATTATTAATTATTTTAACAGCTTAGTCTTTCTTTAAATACACCAAACTTATCTTCATATAAGGTATGTAAAATACAGCATCTTACATTGCTTCTGGGTTCATTATGCAGACAGCTCCTGGACACTGGCATTTGTTAATATCATCATAAGCTATTCCCATACTAAGGCTCAGTAACTGAGCAATAATAACTGCAAGTGATTCCAGACTTATGGTTCTAGGATGCTGGAAAACAAAAAATACATGTACACACTCACATTTCAGGAGATAATTCATTTACTGGGAGAATAATGTAATTATCAAAAATAGTTACATGATAAAATAGAATAGAGGCTTCTAATCTATTAGCGACAGAAATGCCATCCATGTTGCCCTAATATCTGAAATTATACAAAAATGTAAATATATGGTTCATTTGGTGGTATCGGAACAAGAAAAAAATTTCTCCAATAACTTAATTATATATAACAATAATTATAGCCATATTTATACTCACAATAATAAAAACTTTTAAAGACATACACATACACACATACAGTGCCAAATTATTATCAGGTTGTGTTCATTTATAATTTGATTATTTAGAGATGATATTTTATATAAATATTTCACACATTTTATAAAAATTATAAATTTAACATATTGAATTAATTTATATTATGGTAATAATGACTGATAATGAGAATGCTAATTTTCCATAGTGTTTAAACTTTATTTTTGAAACTAAAATGCCTTTATCATTTTCTTTTTATAAATGTAAGATGCTTAGTAGAGCATATTTTGACCATACTAAAACATATGAAGTTTAAGAAAAATCCACAAATCACACTACCTCTTCAAATATATTTAATAATATTTATTTGTGCGAATATAGTTCAAGATAGGTTTCTAGGAATACATTTTGGTATTTTCTGTTCACTTCTCTGAATCAACTTTCCATCATTTTCTACCCTGCTTTCTAGCTCAGAAGGATGACACCAAGGGATTATGTCGAAAGGTTTCTTTGCCCTCTGCTTTACTTTAATTGGGTCTAATGGGGAAGAAAGGGTGAAGAGAGAGCACGGTTTTTATTACCATCATTGCCAGGGTACCTATGACTGTCTGAATCCTTGAGTGGAGGTCTCTACTGTCCGTCAGTGATCCTAATAGAATAACACTGTCCTTTCCTTCAAGTCTGGGTGACAAATTAAATATCTTTATTACTAGCCCTGAGGCACTGCAAAGTCCCTACATCTTCCATACACATTGATAAATGGTCCTTTTATCAAAATTATCACAGTTGAATATACCATCTATTTTCTGAGCAAGGGAGAGAGAGGGAAAGAAGAATAAGAAGGTTAAGAAGGAGAGGAAGAAGGTGGAAGAGGGAGAGGGGAGAGTGTGAGGGGAGAGAGAAGGAAAAGGGGTATGTGGTGAGTGAGGGTGGGGGAATAGAATGTTTGATTCTATGGAAAATAAAATGAAGGATTCTGCTAAATTTCAATAATGTAAATAACAGGATATTATAAATAATAATATAAATAATAGGAGATTATATTATTAGTATAGTTATTTTAGATTTTCTTGTTTTCAGGATATTGTAGAAAAGATCTGGCAACCATTCAATCAGTGTAGCTTTATAATTGTTTCTCCTATGAATATTGGCTGCTGCTGATTTTTCCAGCGAAGGGTCAGGCAACGATTATCCCAATGAAATGTGGAGAATAAGAAATAATACTAGGAAGCTCTTCTCTGTTCACTCCTCATACTACAGAGACCACTGGCCTCTGCCCATGAGCCACACACTTTCCAGTAAATGATGGGATTTCCTTCTTCTTGGTAGCTAGCTTGCCTTTAGAGAGAATGAGTTCTGCTCTCTTTTGTTAGTCAGTGAAGGTCCTGCTTCACGTGAGAGTCTTATGATTTTTCAGGTTGAAGGTGATTGGGTAAGTTAGCTAAATCCAGCTTTTGAAGCAAGGTATTAACTTAACTGTAAATATAAGCCATATTTTCCAAACTATGATGTATAAAATTTAAAGTTGAAATATGTGTCTCCATTTGATCGAACCATCTTTTTATATCTTTACTTATCTTCACTTAACTTGTTCACTGAAATAAGAGTATTATGCATTGCCTCCTTCAAACTCCAGGAGACATTATACAAACACATAAAAAATAAAAAAGTAGAGATCTATATGTCAGAAAAACCATAGCACTATGAAACAGGGGCAAAAACATACCAATTTTAAGTACACCAAGATTTTCTAATAAGATAAAAAATGCCATTAGGGCATTTGATTCTGTTACTCTTCGCCTGTGTCCATGAAGCATTTTAAGGCAATCGATAAATAGTTTTGGAAGTTTTATTTTAATCTGGTTCCTAATTACATTGGCTACATAATTAGGAAAATATTCAAAATGTTAGCTTGAAATTAAAATCTATTAATGGTTAAATATTGAGCATATGAAAATTCATGAGCATTTTATAAGACTAAAAGAGATCACTACCTTAACTTCCTAAAAATGATATTTTGAACTCGAGAAGAAAACAGTAAAAATTTTATGTATATTAAGTTTAATGAGGACTTGTTATACTTTAAACACTTCTCTCAGCAGCAGAAAGAAAAAAATCTCTAAATTCCTTATGTAAATTTTAATATACTTAGAAATAATAAAATAAGGAAATATTTAACTACATATTATCTAAATCACATTCTATTTATACATCTTAGCCAAGCAAATTAAACCATACCAACCAGAGCAATACCTCCTCCATATTGGCTCTCACACATCTTCCCTTGAAAGGTTGCACCAACATAATTTGATTTTTCTCTGTAACTTAAGTTAAAAAAATCATAATCATACAATTTCATAAAACTAAACACAGCTAATGTTGAATTTACCTTATACAGTTTTTGTTTTGCATATTTATATAATAAATTCATAGGTATTTTCAACTAACATTAGGGTAACATAGGGTAACAAGGCATAGGAAGTGACTCAATGTACATGCTTTTTTTGAAAACAATAACTGTAAAATAGATTTTAAAAAACAAATAATATGAAGTTTATTCACATATGGATTTTTTAAAAGTGAAGATTCTATTTTATGTAATGTTTATTAAAAGTTTAAAGTTTTTAAAATATCAAAATAATAAAAATAAATAAAATTTCTTAAAATTAGAAAAATAAGGCAATGCAGTTGATAACCAGGCAGAGTCACTACTTTATGGACTGACATTTCCCCTTAATGAGCTACAACTACCTTGCCATAGTCATACAAATCTATGGCATATTTGTGGGGCAGAAAATAGTTTAAAAGATTATAACTTTTAATTATATATGATTTTATATAATATAATTATATATATGTTCTGAACATTGGTAAAAGAAGAAGAGCTTATTAAATATTAAAAGAGGCTTATATTACTTAAAATGTAACACAATGTAAATGTGGTATGTTAGAGATGTTTAAATATACCATAGTGTTTCCATTTCTCTTTTTATTTTTGTTTTTATTTTATGAAAATAAAGCAGAAAAAGAAGACAAAATTACTATATTTGTAGAATTAAGGTACATTTCTTCAGATATTATTAGCATTTTATGCATAGTTAAGGACGTTTAATGATATGTTATACATGGTAAGGTAAGAGGACACATGATAATGAGATTGAAAGAGTGATTTTTAACTATAAACCAATAATAGAATGATATCAATAATCCAACTATAAAATCTCTGTTGTGAAAAATAGTATTCACATAATGTTGTAAGAAAAATGGCGAAAGGTTATTTTCTCTAAAGGCCTGTCAGCTGTCAGAAATTAGGTCAAATATAGATATGTTTTCTTTATGTATGATTTAGTAATGCCAAGATGAGCTTACACAAGTAAAAATGCCATATCATGTGGACGTAAAACAAGATAAGATCTTTTCCATTTTAGAAACCTGTGTAATAATTCATTAGCATCTCCAGTTACTGGAATTTTATTTTCATCCATCCAAAGCTCCAATGAAGATAGAATTATTGTAATGTTAAACGAAGTAAAAATCTAAAATAAAACACATAAAGAAAATATATTCAAATATCTTGGTCTAAATAGATTTGGAAATTAAGAGTGAAAACTATACTGATGACAAATATTAAACAACCGAACTATAAGTATGGATTGGACCTAATAAAGTAAATAACACATACTACTAACAAAACAAGAAATAATTAACATTTTGAAATGTTTGTACTTAAGCTAGCCCCATGTCCAGTGTTTTATTTAATTTAATCCTTACAATAACCTAATTAGGTATATGCAATTATTATTATCTCTATTAAACAGAAAACTAAAAATTAAAATGGTTATATAATTTACTCTATATATACACAAGATGTATATTTAGGCAATGTCATAAAAGAAACTATGGAAAAATTTTTAAGTAGCACACGCAAATGCAAAAGTACTAAAAAGCAAACACTTACAGCATTAGTCAATCCAATTAACTGGAAAATTTTTTGAGTGACAACAGCTGTATCAGAACCCATATGATTATACTGAAAAAGATAATCACACCTTTTAGATCTAAATATATATTGCTTCATATTTAATTATTGTTATTTTGCTTACATTTTAATATAGTGACTTGAAATATTAAATTACTAATTATTAGCTTTAAAAAATATGATAGAAATAATATAATATATATTCAGTATGAGAAATGAAACATATAAAAAGATACAAAAAGACACTACAAACTCCCAAATATAGAAGAGAAGGGGACACTTCCTAATTCATTTTAAAAGGCCAGCATTACCCTGACACCAAAACCAGACAAAGATATCACACACACAAAAAATTAAAAGCTAACATCTTTGATGAACATAGGTGCAAAAATCTTCAACAAAATGTTGGCAAACTGAATTCAACAGCACATTAAAGGGATCATACACCATAATCAAGTGAGATTTATCCCATGGATGTAAAAATGGTTCAATATTTCTAATCGGGCAATGTGATACACTACAGTAACAAAATTAAACACAAAAATCACATGATCATCTCAATAGATGCATGAAAACCATTTGACAAATTCAATATGTTTTCATGTTAAAAACTCTCACAAAGTAGGTATAGAAGGACTGTACATCAACATAATAAAGACCATATATCAAAGGCCCATAGACAACATCTTAATCAATGATGAAAAGTTGAAAACTTTTCCCCTATGATCAGGAATAAGGATGCCCACTCTCACCATTTTTATTCAACATAGTATTGAAGAGTTAGCCAGAGAAATTACACACACACACAAAAGAAATAAAATGCATCCAAATTGAAATGGAAGAAGTATAACTGTTACTATTTGCAGATGCATGATACTATATATAGAAAGTCCTAAAAACCACCAAAAAACTGTTAAAACACACAATGCAATCAATATACATTTGACATATCAAATATAGAAGAGAAGGGGACACTTCCTAATTCATTTTAAAAGGCCAGCATTACCCGGACACCAATCTGATGTAAGAATAAGCAGAAGATCTGAGAAGACAGTTTTTCCGAAGAAAACATACAGATTGCCAAGAGGTACACAAAAAGATGTTCAGCATCACTAATCATCAGGGAAATGCAAATCAAAACCACAACGAGGTATCACCTCACACTTGTTAGAATGGCTATTATTAAAAAGACAAGAAATAACAAGTATTGGCGAGGATGTGGAGGAATGGGAACTCTTGTGCACTGTTGGTGGGAATGTAAATTGGGGCAACCACTATTGAAAATAGTATGGAGGTTCTTAAAAATACTTAAGATAGCACTATCGCATGATCCAGCAATACTGTTTCTGGGTATTTATCTAAAGGAGAAAAAAATCACTAACTCGAAAAAACACATATACCTCTCATGTTCATTGCAGCATTATTTATAATAACAAAAATATGGAAACAAACCTAAATATTCATCAATGGGTGAATGGATTTAAAAAAATTTGTTACCTACACACAATAGAATATTATTCAGTCATAAAAAGAAAATCTTGCCATTTATGACAACATGGATGGACTTTGAGGGCATTAAGATAAGTGAAATAAGTCAGACAGAAAAAAACAAGTGCTATATGACCTCACTTACATATGGAATCTAAAAACAAAACAAAACAGAAACCAAGCTTCTGCATAGATATAGAGAACAGATTGGTGGTTGACAGAGACAGGGGTAAGAAGTGGGCAAAATTTGTAAAGGTGGTCAAAGGTATATTTCCATTTATAAAATAAATAAGTCTTGGAATGTAATGTACAGAATAGTGACTATAGATAATACTATATCGTATAATTGAAACTTGCTAAAACAGTAGATTTTTATAATTCTCATCACAAGAAAAAAATTGTAACTATATGAAGTTAATTTGACTTATTGTGTTGATCATTTTGCAATATATACAAATTTAAAATCGTTATGTTGTTACACACGGACCAGTGAAACAGAATCGAGAGTCCAGAAGTAAACCCATATTTATATGGGCAAATAATTTTCGACAAAAAAGCCAAAAGCATACAGTGGAGAAAGAAAAGCCTCTTCAATAAATGGTGCTGGAGAAATTGGAAGGCTACCTGCAAAAGAATGAAACTAGACCTTTGTCTATCACCACACACCCAAATTAACTCAAAATGGATTAAGGACCTGAATATAGGATCAGAATCAATCAAATGCATAGAAGAAAATATAGGAACTAAACTCGAGGACCTTGGACAGAGGAGTAAAAGCAAAATAAATGAATGAGACTACATCAAACTAAAAAGCTTCTGCAAAGCCAAAGAAACTATCAACAAAACAAAAAGGCAACCAACTGAACTGGAGAAAATATTTTCAAACAACATCTTCAATAAAGGGCTAATATTCAAAGTATATAAAGAACTCATACCGCTCAACAATAACAACAAAAACCCAAACAATTCAATTTCAAAAAATGGGCAGAGGACCTGAAAAGACACTTTCCCTAGAAGAGATACAAATGGTCAACAAATATATGAAAAGATGCTCAACATCGCTAGCTATTAGGGAAATGCAAATCAAAACCACAATGAGATACCATCTCACACCTGTTAGAATAGCTATAATCAACAGGAGAAGTAATAGCAAATGCTGGAGAGGATGCGGAGAAATAGTAACCCTCATACCCTGCTGGTGGGACTGCAAATTAGTACAGCCACTATGGAAAATAGTATGGAGGTTCCTCAAAAAATTAAGAATAGAATTACCGTATGATCCAGCAATCCTTCTACTGAATATTTACCCCAAAGACTTGAAAATTCATATCCAAAAAGATATTTGCACACCTATGTTTATAGCAGCATTATTCACAGTGGCCAGAACATGGAAGGAACCGAAGTGTCCTATGATAGATGATGGCTAAAGAAGCAGTGGTACATATATACAATGGAATATTACTCAGCCATAAAAAGAGATGAAATACTGCCATTTGTGACAACCTGGATGGACCTCAAGATAATCATGCTGAATGAAATAAGCCAGATTTAAAAAGTTGAAAATCACATGATATTAGTTATATGTGGAATATAAACCTAAAAGCAACAAATGAACGGGACAAACACACAGACTTATGGACACGGACAATGGACTAGTGATTACCAGAGGGTAGGGGATGGGAAAGGAGGGAAGAGGTAGACAGGGTAAAGGTGGTCAAATATAAGGGGGTTGGGGGAGGGTGAAGTGGGTAAAGGGGATCAAATAATGGTAGCTGAAGGAAACTGGTTTGGGTGGTAAACACATATTAGAATACATAGATGTCAAATGATAATGTACACCTGAAAATTATATAATTGTATTAACCAATGTTACCCTCAATAAACTTAATAAATAAATAAATAAAATCATTGTATTGTATATCTAAAATTAATATAATTGTATATGACAATTATATCTCAATTTTAAAAAAAATACACTAGAAATAAGATATAGTTTTATTATTAAATAATTAATAATTGTTAAAAGAAATTTAACAATTTCAATAGCTTCAAACTATAAGATTTAAATATGAAGAATAAAGATTGTAGATTGAATACACTCATTCAAAGCCATGTCTTATGGAAACTTCATAATCATAAAAGTATCAATAGGAAATAAAGGATCATGAGAACAATAAATAAAAGAAAAGCAAAAAAGCAATGACAAAATTTAAAAACTGAAGAATAGATTAGTGGTAAATGCTTAAGCGGAATTTTAAAAATTGAATGGAAAACAATTATAGCAATATAATTCACTTTGAAAACCCCAAAATACTCAGATTGGCTATGTCAGTTTCTCTGAAAGTAAGAGAAATTGGCCCTAAGAACAGATCAATTAATGTAAAGTTTGTTTAAGAAGTAGTTAAGGCTGAGGGAACTTGCAGAATAGCTGTGTGAAAAACAATTCAAAATGTTACATACTAAATGATTCCATTTATATAACATATTTGAAATTAAAAAGGAAAACTACAGACATGGAGATCAGATTAGTGGTTGCCAGCCAACGGTCAGGGAAAAGTGGTTGTCGTTATGAAAAGCCCACACAATGGATTCTTGTGATTGAATTATTCTGTATCTTGACCATCAGTGTCAATATCCTAGATGTAATATTGTACTTTAGAATTTTAAGATGTTACAAATTGGAAAAAAAATTACCTAAAAGATATACAGGATCTCTATATGTTCTTTTTTGGTTTTAATAAATATTTTATTCATACTTTGTCCAGTTTTTAAAAAACCCAACATTATTAATGATACATAAACATAAACAGCACAAATCTACAACACATAAAAATAAAGGTGATCAATAGTTTAAGTAATCTATGCCAACATTTGAGATAGCAAAGCAGTTGTATGTGCTTCAAATCCAAGTTTAGAACTCACCAATGTGCAAGTACGAAAGAAGACCAAGTATATAATTTTTGGACAGCAGATAGGGCATAAAGGTAATCAAAGGAATTACAAGGAGATTACTTATTTAAAGGTGTGTTGAAATTAAGGAGAGTAAAGTTGTAGATCCTTCAGGATGAAAGAACAAGATGATTTGAGAGATTAACAGTAAAAATTTAAGAGTAAAAATGTTTGATCTCACTTATATGTGAATTTTTAAAAAATCAAGCCCATAAATACAGAGAATATATTGGTGGAGGTAGGGTGTGGGTGTAGATAAAATGGGTGAAGGGAATCAAAAGATATAAGCTTCCAGTAACAAAACAAGTAAGTCAAGGGGATATAATGAACAGCATGCCAAACTATATTTAGCAATGTTGTATTGCATATTTGCAAGTTTTAAGTAATCTTAAAGGTTCTATAACTATGTAACTATGTATGGTGACAAATGATAACTAGAATTTTTATGGTGATCATGTTGCAATACATATAAATATTGGATCTTTATGTTGTACACCTGAAACTAATGTTCTATGTCAATTATCCTCAATAAAAACAAAAAAAAGAGAGGAAAAAGAAAACTGATTCAAAAGTCTTAAGCAGGAGATTGCTAAATCTGATTTACGTATTAAAAAGATACAAATGTCCTAGTTTTATCAGGTTTTGTAATTAAAGATTTTTGTCTTCATAAAATAAATTGGGAGCTTTCTAAATAGTTTAGATCAGTGATTCTTGGTTTTGGTACATGTCGGACTCACCTGGAAAGTTAATAAAGAATAAAGAAAGTTAATAAAGAGACCTAGATTTGTTGAAATTGCAGGATCTAGGCCTCTGGTTTTTCATCAAGTTTCCTAGGTGATTATTATTCATACCAAAAAACCCAGCAGATTAGAATACAATGCAATTATCTGTTACTTTAAGGTTAGATAAAATGCAGCTGTGAGCTCATAAATTCCTGATAAGTTTTTCAATGATAGTTCTTTATCTTTCAGGTTTCTTCTGTAGTAATTGATCTATTCGATACAAGTATAAATCAACTGTACTCATGAATATAACTGTAAAAATTCTAAATATTAGTCAATAGCTTTTAACAATATATCAAAAGAATAACATGCGATGATGAGGTAGAATTAGTTTCCAGTAAACTGTTTCAACATCAATGAAATATTTAATATTATTCACTATATCAACAAACAGAAAGAACCTGCATGGTCATAATAATAAATGCTGTGAAAGCATATGACAACATTCAACAGCAATTTCTAATAACAACTGAAAAGATGGAAACCAAGTAAAACTATTTAAATATAATAAAGACTAAACACAATGACAATAGCAACAACTAAAAATTGGTAATAAACATTACTCTAAATAGAAAAAAACATTTCAATTAAAATCAGGAAATATATTGCTTGCCTGCTATTCCCTCCAGTATTTAACATGGTCAGGGAAGTTTCCATAAATGCAGAAACAAAAGCAAATAAAATAACTGTTAAAAACAGTTGGAAAGAGGAAATAAAACTATATCTTTAATATATATTTTATATTAGAAAACCCATGAGATTCTAGTAAAACTACTGCTATTATTAAGAGTATATGGTAAGTTGGCTGGATATAGAAGCTAGCTATAAAAATTAATGATGCTTTTCTCACTTGATATAAAAAAAATTATTTAAAATACTGAAAAAACTTAAGTACTTAAGAATAAAGAGTAAAGGCTGAAAATTTATATAATGAAAACTAGAGTAATCTTATCAGAAGACATAAGTCAGTCTAAACCCAAAAGTATATGTTATTCTTGGATAAGAAGTCACAAACTTGTTTATTACCTTAATTAGTATTAAATTTAAATGCCATGTTAATTAGAGTCCCCCATTTGGGTGAGGGGATTGAGAAAATGACCATAAAGTTTATATGGAAGAATAAGAGCCTGAGAGAAAATATGCAAGAGAAGTATGAAAAAGAACAAAGATGTTCTTGCTAGAAATTACACCATAAAGCCACTATAACCAAGTTGGTATGGTATCAGTTTATGAATAGACAAATAGATTAATGGGACACAAAAAGGAGAAACCAATTATATGAGAGACTTTAATATTTAATAAATGATGTTGACACAACCAGATATATATCTAAAAGAAAATAAATGTAGATTCCCATCTTAAGCCATAGTTTATCCTATGACATGTATAAAATTCAGTCAAGATGAATTAAAGAGTTAAATGCTACTCTCTTAATTGAAACTGCATACCCAAAAACTATATAAAAATGTGAAGGCATATTTGAATATAATAAAATTAAAGTTTTATGTATACAAGAAAGCCCACAAATAAAGGCAACTACTAAAGGTAATGTTTTGATATTTTATTGCAGATAATGAACAAAGCATGAATACTTTTAACATTCAAAAATTTCTTACAAGTTGACAGGAAGTCAAGCAGCCATTAAGAAAATGAGCAAAAGGCATAAGTTGTCAATTCAGAGAAAAGCAAATACCAGTGGCCAGTAAACACTAAATTATGATTAAATTCATTATCATTTAAGAAAATGGAAATTAAAATCCCAATGTGATATGATTTTATATTCATCGACTAATAAAAATTAAAAAGAAATATATAATAGATAATTGTCAGGTATGAGGAAAACAGTGCTTTCAGTTTTAACTTAGAGATATAAAAAGTTACAAGAGAAAGTTCACAAACTCATTTCACTTTATCAAACACTAAACCTGGACATGTAATCACATACTCAGCTTTTCTTGATGTCAGTATGGATGAAATGGTGGTCTAGTCTAATATTGGAATTCCAGTTGTATACAATAATATCACCTACTCAAAGATGTGACTCTAAGAATTCCAGCCCACATCATCAATTCTCAATAGTACTTGGCTATTTGTGTTAGCAAATAGGTATTCTCCCACAATAAAAACAAAGCAAAACAATTTTTTTTTAAAAAAACAGGCTCCTTTCTCTTAGCTAACACATCAATATTTTGCTTTCATTTACAGTCAGGCATGGAATATGAGCATTTTGGTTATGACAGACCACATATATAACCATTGTCTCATAGGATTATAATTGCCTAATGATGTAGCCATCCTAATGTCATAGTGCAATGCATTATACACATGTTTATGATGATGCTAGTGTAAACAAACATTGCATTGCAGAAACAACCAAGGTGTCTTTCAGTAGATGAATGGATAAACTGTGGTATATCCATACAATGGAATATTATTTAGTGCTAAAAAGAAATGAGCTATCGAGCCATGAAAAAGCATGGAGGAAACTTAAATTTATATTACTAAGGTAAAGAAGCCAATCTGTAATGGCTGCATACTGTATATTTAAACTACATAACATTCAGAAAAAGGCAAAACTGTGGAGACAGTAAAAAAATCAGTGGTTGCCAGACTTTAGGAGGATGGAGAGATAGATAAAAATTACTAAAAAACTATTATAAAGGCAGCAATTCTTTTAATTTACAATATTTATGTACAAGAATAAATTTATAGAGATTTGAGTTTCAATTTACTACAGATTTAAAGCAGAGATAAAGCAAACGTTATCATTTATTGTCTTGTGTTAAAAAATTATTACAATTTTTATAACCTTTTATATTACTAATTAGTAATTAGAAAAATAAATTACAATACACTTACCAAATTTTTTTCAACTATAACATGCATTTCTATATATTGAGAGAAATCTGTAAGTGGCTGAAAAAAATCCACATAAAAAATTAAAGAATTAAATATTTCAGTGTTTATAACTACTTCATGAATTCGATGTTGAAAAATCCCATTTTATATATAAAAATAGAACCAGATTATAAGCAAAACTAGGAATCGCAGAATCATTTTCAGAATATTACCTTTATAATCTATTTTGTACCTGATCAACTATTTAATTTATTCAGAAAATAACTTTGTCTTCCATTCTCCATATTCTCATCAGTACTGGGCTATTCATATTTTTCTCTTTTCTGAATAAACTGTCTCAATGACTCCCCATTACAAAAGGTATGAATTTCTATTAGCTTACTGATGCTTTTATACACTACTATGTGGTATGGCTTTATCCATGACACTGAAAGAGTAAAGACCCATTTCTATGTTTTTTTTTTTCTTTTTTCTGGAGGGAGAATGATATTTAATCTGAAGGATAAAGTTAATCCTTGTATAACTCACCTCAAAAAAATGTAAGCAACAGAGAATCAAAATGACTAACTTTCTTAAAGTGGACCATAGATATCTCAAAATGTAGTCTGAGCATGACATCATCCACTTAGATCATAGTGGTTAAATTGTGCACAAATGTGAGGATTTGCACTTCGGTTCATCATTTATGTGGCTTAGACTTTGCCAAAAAATTGGGATAAAGTAATAATTGTTGTATCTACTATCATAAAATGTTACTTATTTTCATGATTATTTTTACATGAAGGTAACCTAAGAGGAATGCACTAGGGAAAACTTGTAAGATGGGCTTTGCAAACAATTAAAGACTATAGTATAGATAACTCAAAATACCTCGTTATTAAAATAGTATACCATCTATAAACACTGGACAAATATCTAGAAACAGAAAAGGATGATAAAATTTTAGAAACTGAGGAAATTTTTGTTATGTTTATTTTAATGTTTGCATTTTTCTTTTTTACATTTAAGTTTAAAACTATCCAATTTTAGTTAAACCATTTCCTTTAACATCTTAAAAGGAGCATCAAAGAGAGAACAAAAAATCTGGGATTTAGTAGAGATCAGAAAAGTGATGGTTATAGTAATTTAAAGGAAAAAGAAAAGTTGAGAAAAGTCAGTAAGACAAATTTAGAGCTGATTAATCACTCATTTTTCCCCACTTAAAAATTCTCAGAGATTTCAGGGTTTTGCAGATAAAATAACCTTATGATTTAACCGGTCTCCTATCTTTTCCATTTAAAATTAAGCACCAAATGTTTTATGGTAGTTTGATTATAAGATTCCATCCTTTTATTAAAGTCCTTAAACGAGGAAATAACACTACTGGAGGATAAATATAAACTCTTAAATTAATTGGGAGAAATAATATATTAATGGATTGGGGGATTCAAAACCATTTCTTTTGTTTTAACCTAATTATTAGTTAGTAATCCTTATTCATTTTTATCTTTGAGATTTGAATTGGTAATATTCAGTTAACAAAAATGTGTTTATTTATTTAATGAACAATAAACTTTTATGAAGAAAAGATACATGGTCTATTCTAGCCAAATAAAAAATTTAAGACAAAAGTGTATAAAAGAATGCAAGAAAATGTGTGTGTTGAAATGTGAGCAGGTATTAAATTTCAAAAGACCTCAAAAGCTATTTTTTGTAGTAAGTGAATAGGGCCATATAAGGAGACAAATTGCTTAGAGATGTATTATGTAAAGATGACTTTAATTGCAGTAAAGTTTGTTTTGGTCAAGTAAATACTAAAGAATTGGATCTAGGCAAGAAGATTAGAGAACACTACTGAATGATGTAATTGCAATATAGATAGAATTAAATTTAAAATATGTCAAAGGTAATCAGTAAGAATATTTAGAGAGTGAGAATGGACAGGATGATGAAGACAAATAAGTAGGTAGATAGATAATGTGTTTGTGTATTTCATTTAATTTCAGCAACCATTATGTCCAATGTAATATCAGTAATTCAGGAAAAAGTTTAGAATGAGATTGAGAGATCTATAAATCACAGTAGATATAGACATGGAAAAATATAGAAGGCAAACAAAAACCTGAGGCATAACATAAGCAATATCAGTATCTACAATGTAAGTTTATAAGGAAAGATCAGATAAAGTGAAAAAAATGAGAAGCAGGACAGTTTTATTGAAGAATAAAATAAATCAAAAATTCCAGGGAGTTTTAATTTTATTTCACCTAATGGTGATGGACTGAATCCTTTCCTCTTAAAACTGAGGCAAGACAAGGATATCTGTTCTTACCTATTTGACATTATACTAGGGATGGTCACCAGGGCAATTAGAAAATATAAAAGGAAGTTATCTTAATTGAAAAGAAAGAACATAAACTGTCTTTATTCAAGATGACATGACCTTGTACGTGGAAAATCAGAGTCCAGTAAAAAGCTAATAAACAATTTCAACAAGTTTGCAGAATACAAAAATCAATAATTTATAAACACTAATAATAAGAAATGCAAATCTGAAATAAAAAGTAAATGTTCAGTAGCATTTAAAAAATAAAATGTAAGAAATAATTTTAATAAAAGAAGTTTTCTTGATGACTTAAAGACTAAACTATGTAAAGTAATGCAGCAAAATATTTTTAAAAACCTAAAAATCAAAAGCTATTTAATGTTCATGGATTGGAAGAGTTAATATTGTTAAATGGCAATATTCTCCAGATGAATTACAGAATCAACACAATTTCAGGTGACTTTTTAAGGAAATTGAAATAAATGAATTTTAAAATTCATTTGGAAATTCATAGTAACAGGAATAGCCAGAACAATATCAAAAAAAAAAAAAAAAGAAAAAAAGAAAAAAAGAAAAAAGAAAGAAAGAAAGAAAGAAAGAAAGAAAGCACACTTATTAATTCCAAAACTTACATCAAAGGTATAGTAGTAAAAATAGTGTGGTTCTGGCATAAGAATAAGCATAAAGACCAATGGAATGTAATTGCAATTGCAAAAAAAGTTTCTAACTTTTATGGTCAATTGATCTTAAAAACAAAGGACCATGAAAATTCAGTGGAACAAAAAATATTCTCTTTACCAAATGGTGTTGGGAAAACTAGATATTATTATGAAAAATGAAGAAATTTAGAATCTTGCTTCATACTATGCAAAAATTAACATAAATTGAATCATATATTAAAATGTAAGAAATTAAACAATAAAATTTATAGAATCATAGAAATAAATTTTGTAGTCCTGGTGTGATGGTTAATTTTAATCTGTCAATTTGACTAAGCCACATGCCCAGATATACGTTACTGCACACACACATATGTATACATCTATCCTGTTGGTTCTGTTTCTCTGAAGTAATATCTTCCCTGAAAAAGACTCTTTACTACTGTAGATGCAGATTCAAGATGGTTAGAAACCAAACCCAGAATCTCATTCTGTAAGTGGATAAATTAAAACACAAATTGAACTTCCAACATCACAAGGCTTCTACTGTTAAAGCAAAGGCATTAACCAAGAAGAAATGAGATCCTGAAAATTGGAATGGACACAATATCGAAAGTCTCTGATGAATCTGGGATCATTAAACTCTTAAGCAGCTTCTCCTTCCCTGTACAAAGAGATCAACCCAGCATTCTGAGGAAACTAAAATGGCTGTCCCTGAAGCATTTGCCTTAAAAGACACTAGTGATTCATTTCAAAACCCTAGATATATATCTTGAATTTTTATGTGAATGGCATTTGTATTTAGTATATCAAAATTTTGATATAATGGCTATAGAGAAAGGAGTACACCTGTAGACAATAAGGGTCTAGGTCACAGGGAAAAAAAAAATGCCACTAATAGTAAAAAATGCCAGCTTGGAGTTCTGGAGATTTGAATGACTAGTTTTAAGGCTTTCAATATAAGCTATATAGTTTCTATCACATCTCTCTATCATCTATCCACCTATTATCTATCTATCTATCTATCTATCTATCTATCTATCTATCTATCTATCTATCATCTATCATTTACCATATATATTAATGTAAATAATTTATCAGAAAAAATAATTGTTTATATTCTTAAATAGTAATAACCATATAGTTTACTCAATTAATTGCTTACCTCTATAGTTTGTATTTTATAGGGCATTTCCATTGGCTCAATATCCTCCTCAGCAAATAAAGAAGAACCTGTATTCTTAAGTTTTACTTGATAAATCACATGTTCAAAACCAATGGAAGGCTCCAAAGGCTCAATTCCATAACTTACATTTTCAAACTGTAGTATGCCCCTACAAATTTCAAAAAATAAGTAAGTAAATAAAATAATATATTTTTGAAGTTGATAAAATGCTAATTATTCAGTTTTTTAAATAGTATGCAGATAATTTTCAGTCTTAATCTTAGATGGTAAATTTAGGAAAAAGCTCCTAAGTATCCACAATCTTACTGAGTACCACAGAATAGTAATACTATTGGTATTTGCCTACCTGCTAATGTTTCATGGTCTTCAAATATATACAAAAAAACTTAATTCAGAATAGAGTAGAAGACATTACAAGAATTTCAATACTACATTACCAAAGACAGTTTCCCATAAAAATATTCTAAAAAATTAATCCATTTTGAAGTTACAAAATCACAACCTGAGTCCAGTGCATGTGCTAAGGATAGCCATAGAATTTGGATAACCTTCAATATACCCTTGGTAGTAGCAAGAATTCTGAAAAATAAAAAAGAAAATACATATATCTCTATTAGAGTAACTCATGTTAAAGGTACTATTTTCAAATATTTAAAACAGATGTTTATTAGTGCATATATGTCAAATTCTCATTGTTTCCAAAATAGATTTATAGGATTATTAGATGAACATTTGGCTCAATTCTCAAAAAATTTTCCCACACATTCAAAAATAATTTGAATACTTTCATATTTTTCCCCGGTTATAAATATGACATTCTTGGTCATTAGAATCAAGGTAAAATCATCAAAAATTTATTTTTTCAAACGCTTTTGACTTAATTTTACAAGGTAGACATAACAAACAAACAAACAAACAAACAAAAAACAAAATAAATCCTAAACAGAATTATTTAAAAAAATTATTTAAGTGTAATAGCAGAGTAGTTTGCATTGGATTAATCTTCTCATAAATTGCAAATATGAACTCTGGAAAAATAATTTCAAAACTCCACAAAAGTAGGCAGGACAAAGCAAGAGAAGAGAATCAACACTTAGAAGAAAAGCATGATATTTACTGAGATTTGCATTTATATTGGTTTTCATCAAAGGGCACTCCCCAAAGTAAGGCAGCATGAGATAGAGATAGCTAAAGTTCCAATTAAAAAAACAATCTTACTGATCATGGTTGCAAATCCCTAGAAACTGAGCTGCGATAACCAGAAAAGGAAAAAGGCACAGAGTGAGGCTCCCAAATGTGTGCTGTTAACTCAGGTGTAAGTTCTTTATTTATATCTGGACTGAGAATATGTGAAAGAGATCTCAAGTAGCTTAGTAGAAACTAAGACCAAAAAATCTGGAAGAACTAAGAAGATATTTTGGCTATTTCCAAACACAGGAGAGTAGAGTTTGGAAACTGGTTCCAGCAAAATTAATTACCTACTGAAATAAGAATGTAAACTCTTTAGAGAAAAGAGTCACAAGCTCTACAATGATCATTGTATAGGGCCAGTATGATTTTAAAATATTAGATATGTGATAAAAGGAAAATGTGGCCCATAGTCAAGAGAAAAATCAGAAAGAGAACTGATCCCAAAAATAACAAAAGATTTGGAATTAGTAAAAAACAGATATTAAAAATGTGATCAAGAACAAAAGGAAAATGTAGACATAATAGGGGAGCAGTTAGGAAATTCAGCAGAGATATAAAGGTTACAAAAATGCCAACTCTAAATTCTACAACAAAAATAAATTTAAAATATAATACACTAGATTGGATATACTGCATTTTAGATATTGCAAAAAAAAAAGTAAAAAAATTAGAATATAAACTTATAGAAATCACGAAATCTGAGAGAAAAGAACCTTTAAAAAGGAAACATAGCTGCAGTAACCTATGGGGCAATGTTATCTAACATATGTTTAATGGGAGTCCCAGAGAAACAGAAAGAAAAAACAGATATAAAAACATGTGAAAAAAATAATGACCAAAATTTCCCTAAATGTATTGAGACACTAAGTATGCAATTAGACAATGGCTAGATCATTTATAAAAATAGAACTCTGACCCACAACCTGCAGCAACCTGCCCAGGTAATCGACCCTTTTATCGACAATTACTAGCCCAGGAAACAAACCTGCTACAAGTCAGACATTGTAGGAAGTCATATTGCTATCTCCAGTAACAATGCAAGAAGCTAAACAATAACTTCTGTAATAATCAGCTCAAATGACCAAGACTTGTTTTAAAAAATTTAGTTTACCTAAATTTTGTCTCAGCTTCCAACTTACGATCAACCGGAGAAAGCCAAATACTCACTGCTAAACAATCACATAGATGCTTCTCTTCTAGTTAGCTCATCTACAGTTTTTCAATGCTACCGACTGCCAACCAGGGCATACCTGAAGTTTTCTCTTTTTCCTATTATGTAGAGCTTTCTCACTCCTCTGCTTGTCTTAGTGTATCTGCTGAAACGCAAGTGATGGTAGCTGACTCCCTTGCTATGGCAAGCTCTGAATTAATAGCCTTTGCTTATTTTCATTTGTTTGGTTTTTGTTAATTTCCACAAGATATAAGGACCTCAGCACATCATAATAAACTGATAGAAACCAAAAATGAAGGGAAAATTTTGAAATAAACTAAAGTAGCACGTAACATTCAGAGGAATAATAATACAAAAAAATGATACTTCTCATTATAGATATATATCTAAATATAGATAATATAGATATATAGATATAGATATAGACATAGATATAGAAAGACACAGAGAGGGATAGAGATATAGAGATATAGAGAGCCAGGATACAATGGAACAGGATAAAATGTTGGGAGAGAAAAATTATGTATTATATATTAAGAAAACTTATTTTTTAAAACTGAAGGTGCGGAGAATTAACCTCTGGTATAACAGCATAAAGAGCTCCACAAATCTACTCCCTAGCAAAATAAATAAAAATTATAAATAAACAACCATTTAAATCTTCTGGAAATAGTCAAAGGAACAAATGGTCCTAAGAGAAAATGAATGAACAGCTATTCAAGAAAACGTATGAAAATTCAGTAAGAAAAATGAGAGCTTGTGGTATTTGAGCCAAGACTACTCCCTCTTTTCCCAAATCCAAGCTCAGCAAGATGTACAAGGCTGTTGCTGGAGTAACACAATGTATTGTTTTATAGTAAACTTTTTTTAATAAGTAAAAAGAGTACACTCTAAAATAATGATAACAGTATAGCATAGTTAATACATAAACCAGTGACATAGTGGTTTATTATCAAGAATTATGTACTGTAGTAATAGTATGTGCTATATTTTTATACAACTGGCAGTGCAGGTTTGCTTATAACAGCGTCATCACAAATACATGAGTAATGCATTGCACACAACAAACAATATGATGGCTATAGTATCACTAGGCATTAAGAATTTTTCAGCTCCATTATAACCTTTTGGGACCACCATTGTATATGCAGTCTGTCATTAATAGGAATGTCATTATGTGGTACATGACTGTATTCATTACATTTGAGGCTAATGTTCAACAACTTACTACATACAAGTTATTAGTAAAACATTCTTTGCGTTGTCTTTTTAATTATACATTTATCTTCCATGGTTACCTCCTGGGAGATAGGAAGCAGAGTTAAGTATTAGGTGTAGCAGAATTATATAAAATTCAGGCCTTATGTATCTCTTTGTCTCTCTAATTCTAACTCTCTCTCGCTCTCTCTCTCTGTCACACATACAGACACAAATATACACATTCACACACACACATGTCATATGCACATACATATACATTATATTTGTGTGCATATATATATACATACATATATATGTATATGTCATAACACGGTTTGACTATGTATTATCTATCTGTACAGACTGCTCCATAGATGACTCACATATATTTACCCAGTCTGTTCAGCAAAATTTAAAGCAATTATTCAACATATCTATTATTTCTACTGTTGAAAGCTTAGTCTCTATAAAAATGCTTTAATTTCAAAGTACTAGTAGATTCACTGCATACAAATCAGTAATGTAAATGGGAAAAACCCAGCAGTTTTTTTTTGGTGAGGCAGAGGCAAAGGTTAAAAAAAAACCAAACCAGCATTTTAGGCACAGGTAATCCAAGCAATTGTATGCACATTTTATTATTTTTCCAACAAATTACAGACATTATAAAATGAAGCTCCAAGTATTCCAAATATATGAACATTTAATATATTCTTAAATGTGCATGAAATTCCATTTATATTTACTTGGTCCCTGAAAATACTTCAGACAAATCTTTGGAGTCTTCCTCCCAGATTTAACTTTCTTAGTCCAAGTCATGTTTTTTCACTTTAAGTACCTCACGATCTATTCGATCCTTTTGCCACAGGTATATAAGCACATACAAGTACATCATTATAAAATAATAGCTTAAACATTATTATCATTTTTGGTTTGGATAATCATCTGTGTATAAAGGCTCACTCAAGACACACCATGAAAAAGAAATAGCTAAATTTATGCCAAAACAAAACTTTAATTCTTTGTACTCCAGCAACATGTGGATCCTAAGTAAGGTGGTCACAGAAACTCACATAACAATGGCAAAACAGACAATAAAAATCATACCTGAAACTGATGTTCAAAAGGTTTCATACTTCCTGTGCTTTTATAACCATAAACTCTAAAATTATGGGGTAAAAAAGCTCTGTAAAATAAAGATAAAACTATTTATTGAAAAATTTCACTTTTATTTTGGAAAGATTTATTTTATTACATTTATTATAATTAGGTAGGTAGGCAGAAGGAGAGAGGGAAAAATAAAGAGATTTTCTGATTTTGTTCTAATTTTACTAAAAAACCTAGTCTCTAGTCCTCCCTTCATTCACTTTACTGTCACACTGTCCTCTTAGCTATTTTTTAAATACAACAGGCAAATTTTTGTCTCAGGGTAACCCAAGTGTTCATCAACAGATAAATGGATAAGCAAAATATGGTATATATACATACAATAAAATATTATCCAACCCTACAAGGAAGGAAATTTTGACATATGGATGTAATTAAATTATGCTAAATGAAATAGGCAGTCACAAAAAGACAGATACTTTATGTTTCCACTTATATGAGATAACTAGAATAAACACTTTCACAGAGACAGAAAGACTGGTGTTTACCAGGGGATGGGGAGGGGTGAGTTATTATCTAATGGGGTAAGGTTTCAGTTTGGGAAATTGAAAACTGTTTTGGAGATGGATGATGGTGATGTTTGCAAGATAAGGTGAATGCATTTAATGAACTTAAAAAAATACTTTTTATAATAGCATCAAAATAATAAAATATCAAGAAATAAATTTAACATAACTGTAAAGCTTATACACTGATAATTGCAGAAGTTGTTGCCCCTTCCTGGGATGTTCTTCAACATGTCTCATTGTCTCATGTACTTCAAGTCTTTTTTGCTTATATATCAACTTCCCAGTGAGGCTAAATCTCGACATGTTTGTAAAAAAATCATCAAGCATAGGATTTCCAAAAGATAATTTTTACTTTGCTCTATGTTTTTGCTTAAGCATTTATCACCTTCTAAGACTCTTCCTAATCTACTTATTATATCACTATTAGATTCATCTGATAACAATAGAAACTAATACATTTCAAGTCCTTAGAAGAATATCTGGAAAATAAATGGTCAATAAATCCTGAACTAATATGACATGAATTCAACAGACAAGATGAAGATCTCATATTAAAATATATTATTTGTAAATATGAGAAGAATATGCTAAAAAGTCTCTACAAAGAGAAAAGTAGGTATAGGTATCTCATTTTCATTTTCCTAATCAAATATTATATAAAGATTCTGACTGCTATGACAGTCTGGATTTGTTAAAGCACCTGGTCCAAGAGCCAAGACACTGACAAACAGAACAAAAAATTTTGTCTTCTTGTCATAACAAAAAAGAAAATGACCCACAGTGGGGTGAGGATCCAGGAAATACAACAATTTTGAGCTGAAATGCCTATAAAGAAATTTAGCTGGTGATATGCAAGCACTGTTTTTTTCTGGCAGAGAAAGAATCCAAATCCTAATGTTTGTCCCAGGGAGACAGTCATTATTGAGGAGGCTAGAAACAAGCAGAACTTTGGTGGTTACACAGGCCTGGAATGAAAATATTGAACGTTTTGAAGTGCATCAACTATATAACTTGCTTCCCTATAAAATAATTTGCCAAATTTTGAACTCACTCATAGTGGCCAAGGAGTAAACTTAAAATCTCTGAAAATAAGAGCTATTTTTAAAATGATGATACAGAATCAATATGCTCTATGTAATTTAAGCATGATAAAAGAAAGAAAAATCATACCTAAATATTTTTTAAAAGAGTGGTGAAAACTAAAATAAAACCTTCGAATTATCAAGAGGAAAAAGAAAACAAGTTACCTTCAAAAAAAAAAAAAAACCAGTAATAATACCAACAACTACTTTGTCAAAAGAAACGAAGAAAGAAAAAAGGCAATGAAATGTTGATTAAAAAGAGCTAAAGTCATTTTTAAAAAGTCATCCTAGATTTTATTTCAGCAAAAAGTTTTAAGAATAGGGTTAAGTAAAGATTTAACAATGAACATCAACAAATATAATTAAAAACAAGCAGACCTGTAACAGAAATACAGAGAAATCCTGAGACATGAAAATTAACTACAGATAGAAACAGAAATGTAAGAAGAAATAAAGAGCACCAGAATGGGTAAATTTCTGCTTAAATATAAAAGAATATTGATTTCACTAAAAATAATAGTAATATCTCACTGGGGTTCAAAAGTATTCAGGATTATGATATATAAAAAAATAATGAAAAGGTAGACAAAAGTAAGTGGAATTAAAAGTATTAACCAACGATATATTTGGCAAAAATAATAATGTATATTAGATTCTTTAACTCAGAAAATAATATGTTGATCTAGAGAAAGTACTAAAGAAGAGTAAAAGATTGTATAACAAAGAATTAAATTAGGGAAAATGATATAATATAAAATAATAGATTTATTAAAATGAACACAAAGAAAAAAAGGAATATAAAAGAGATAAAAGAAAAAATAATAAAATGATTTCAAAATATATATAGGAAATCAAAGATTGAAGTAAAGCAAGGGCATTTTAGAACTATAGAACAAGACCAGGTATCAAGACCTATATAGAATTATAGTAATTAATACTGTGTGGTGTTTGTGTAGGTAAAGAGGGCTCAAGAATAAACATATAATCTAACAAAAGAGAAAACAAGAGTACAGAAAGATCCCCTCATCAACAGTCATTTGATTTATGACAAAGATTACATTACAGTACAGTGAGAAAAAGGTTTGTTGGTCTTTTTTTTCAATAGCATGTGCTGGATCCATTGAATGCTAATATAAAAATTATTAAATCTTGACTCTTATGCTCACAAAATACACAAACATCAATTCTGGATGAATCCTAGAGCTAAATATAAAAGTGAAAACAATAAAAACCATTAGAAGGAAATAGTAGCTTGGATTCATGACTGTATACTGACATTAAAGATATAATGAATATACTGACATTAAAGATATAATGTCAGTATACTAATATACTAATATACTGACATTAAAGATATAATGAAATAATTTATTAGCCAGAGAAGAAATGTAATATAAACTAGAAAATGTTTGCTAATGGTAAACTGGAGAAAGTTCTACATATCCAAAGATGTGGAAGGCAGGTAAACAGTATTTAGGGGAAAAAAAATTAAACTGGAAAATAAAAAGAGTTGATGAGTAGTCAATTTAGAATTCATCTGAGGAAGTTATAAATGAAATCAGAATTAACCCAAAGAAATTTAAAGCAAAGCAATAATACAAAAATCTTATAATATAGATGACCAACAACACTAAAAGTTTGTTCATGGAAAGGTTATTAATCTCACAAAGATACAGTGAGATTTGTCAAAGGAAAAAGAAAAGAAATAATATTAGAATGCAGAAGGTAGATGACCTTAGAAATAGTGGTCTTTGAAAAAAATGGCTATACTATGAACTAACTATATATCATAAATTAAAGTGTTAAATTAAAATGGAGAAATACCTAGAAAAATATTCTATTTAAAAACAGACTCAAGAAGAAAATCTACATAATCATAAAAACTTTAGAGAAAATAAATCAATAGTAAGAAAGTTTCCAAGCAAGGGAACTCCAGATTAAGTTAGTTTCACAGGTGAGTATTACCAAATATTCAACATTTTAGAGACCAAAAAAAGATGGGGTACTCTTCAAATATAAAATATTTACTATCTGGCCCTTTGCCAAAGAATTTACTGACTCTCACTTTAAAGATAATGATCAAAAAGGTAGGAAGAAAGACCTGTGCCACTGCTGAAGGTGAGCAGGTGACACTGTGCAAACCAAGACAGAAGCTGAACTAGAATTGTGCCTTCAAATGGTGTCTCTGGTGCCTTAATGCCCTCTGATCCCTATGATGAGAATATATTATTTGAGATAATTGTTCCTAGTAAGAGAACATATTATTTTTAGCTTTCTAATTAAGAACATAGAGCTAGAAGCATCCTCTGCAGTTTATGAACAGGAAGGATAAAAATCAATACCTGCTATCCACAGACTATGAACAAAAGGAAGCTGCCCAGTCCTGACAATGGTAGAAACATCACATGCAAAAATGAAAACCCCAAACTATATCTTATGCAGATGTGAAATAGAATACAAATAGTCCCATCATTGCTGAAACTCTCAGATGATAAGCAATGTAAACAATAGATTCAGCTAATGAACCCAGAAGAGATTATGGCTGAGTGAGATGAAGTACTGCTGGAATTCCAGGCATTTTTCTTAAAGGGCCCTCACACAGACTTGCTGACAGACTCACTCGCTCTGAGCTCCAGCACTGGGGCAGCAGCTTGAAAGGCACTAGGTACCTCTGTGGAAGAACTGAATTGTCTGGCTTAGGGGCAGGAACTGGAGGGGCAGAAGCCATTGTTTGTTCATTGAGCCCTCCCATGATCCAGCATGCAGAATGATTCCCTGAGACAGAGCCCCACCCAACTTGCAGGCCCACCTAAGCCACTTCCAATGGCTTTTCTATAAAAACAGTCCACCTTGGCTCATGCTACAGACTTTCCTAAAATCTCTCAAAGGTTCACAAATCCAAAACAAGCAGCAACTGGTCTCAGTGTGCTTCAGACCTCTTGCTAAGCAGCCCCAAGCCAAGCATTGGTGGCAGCCAGCCTCAGTTCACCAATTAGCCTCTCCCAGACACCTCTAAGCCCAGTACAAATGACAAATATATGCAGATTACTTTGTAGCTCATATCAAATAGCCCCGGGTAGGGCACAGGTAGTGGCTGAACTTGGCCTGCAGTAGAGCCCCTCAACTCAGACCACAACAGACTACCACCCAATCACCTCCACAGATAACATATCACAAGGGCAGACTAGGCTAGCACTAAGCCCTGCTAAAGCGAATCCTGGTCTGTAGAGTCAGCCTCTGCACAACAGTTCTTCCACTTTAGCCACGACCAGTCCTCACAATCAATCTGCCCAAGGGTCAGTCCCTCCCATTGACATGCAAACAGCAACCAAATCTCAACTACAATAGGAGGGCACACACAAGCCATACAAGGGACATATCTGGAGCACCCAGCTCAAGTAATCACAGAAACTGTGCCAATGAGACTCACAGGACACCTACTACATAAAGCCACTCTACGAAGACTGGGAGACATAGCAGCCCTATCTAATACATAGTAACAAAAAGAGGGAAGCAGCCAAATGGGAAGACAAAGAAACATGTCTCAAATGAAAGAATAGAACAAAACTCCAGAAAAATAACTAAGCAAAATTGAGACAAGCAATCTACCAGATGCAGAGTTCAAAACACTGGTTATCAGGATGCTCAATGACCTTTGTGAGAACATCATAAAAAATATAGAAAACATAAAAACAAAGATAGAAAACAAAAAAGAACGAGTCAGAAATGAAGAATACTATAACTGATGTGAAGTATACATTAGAAGAAATCGACAGTAGATTAGATGAAGCAAAGGATCAAATTAGTAATTTGGAAGACAAGGTAGCAGAAAACACCCAAATAGAACATCAAAAAGAAAAAAGTATCCAGGCCTTTGAGCCAAGCTTCTCTTGCTCAGGCCCACTTCCACATCTGGAAGTATACTTTCTCTTTTAATAAAGCTTTTCTTTTCTGCTGAAACTAAAAAAAAAGGTATCCAAGAAAATGAGAATAGTTTAAAGGGCCTCTGGGACAACATCAAGCATATGAACATTTGCATCGGAGTGGTACCAGAAGGAAAAAAAGAGAGAACAAGGAATTAAAAACCTATTTAAAGAAATAATGAAGAAAAACTCCCCTAACCTAATAAAGGAAATAGACATACAAACCTAGGAAGCCCAGAGAGTCTCAAACAAGGTGAACCCAAAGAGGCACACACCAAGACACATCATAATTAAAATGCCAAAGGTTAAAGATGAAAAGAGAATCTTAAAAGCAGCAAGAGAAAAGCAATTAGTTAACTATAAGGAAGCTCCCATAAGACTGTCATCTGGTTTATCAACAGAAACTTTGCAAGCCAGAAAAGACTGGCACAAAATATTCAAAGTAATGAAAAGCAAGGATGTACAACCCAGATTACTCTACCCAGTATAGCTATCATTTAGAATCGAAGGACAAATAAAGCGCTTCTCAGACAAGGAAAAGTTAAAGGAGTTATCACCACCAAACCGGTATTACAAGAAATGTTAAAATGACTTCTTTAAGAAAAAGAAGGAAAAAAGATTAAAAATATAAATAATAAACTGGCAGTAACTACATATCTATCAACAATTACTTTACATGTAAATAGATTAAATGCTCCAATTAAAAGACATAGGGTAGCTAAATGGGTAAGAAAACAAGACCCTTACATATGCTGCCAACAAGAAACTCACTTTAGATTGAAAGACACACACGCAAACTAAAAGTAAAGAGATGGAAGAAGATACTTCATGAAAATGGAAACAGAAAAAAAAAAAGCTAGGGTAGCAATATTTATATCAGACAAAATAGACTTTAAAATAAAGGCTATAACGAGAGACAAAGGAGGACCCAGTAATCCCACTTCCAGGTATTTATCTGAAGAAACTCGACATTACTTCACAGGTACATGTGCTTACACATATTCACTGCAGTGTTATTTAAAATTGCCAAGATATGGAGGCAAGCTGGGTGTCTGTCAATGTATAAATGTATAAAAAAGAAGTGGTGTGTATATACAATGAAATATTACTCAGCCATAAAAAGGAATGAAATCTTGACATCTGCAACAACATGGATAGACTTAGAGGCTATTGCGCTGAGTGGAGTAAGTCAGACAAAGATAAATACCATATGATTTCACTTATATGTGGGATCTAAAGAGCAAAATAAACAAACAAAACAAAAACGATCTCATAGATAGAGACTATTTTGTTTGTTGCCAGATGGGAGGGGTGAAAAAGGGGAAGGGATTAAGTAGTACAGATTGGCAGATTGGTAGTTATGAAATAGTCATGGGGATGTAAAATATAGCATAAGGAATATAGTCAATAATATTATAATAACTATGTATGGTGTTGGGTACTAGATTTATCAGGGCGATCACTTCAGAAGTTGTATAAATAAATAATCACTATTTTGTACACCTGAAGTTAATATAATATTTTATGTCAACTGTAATTGAAAATGAAAACAAAAACTATTTAAAAAAAGAATGATGAGAAATGTGAAAGAATATATTAGAAATAAATATGACAGAATAACTGAGTCAGGAATTGCTTACTTGGAAGAACCATAGGATCATTCACCCAAGCTTATATCAAATAAGAGGCCCCAATATATATCCAACAACATTCAGAAAAAGTTCATAGAGTGAATGAGGAAAAAGAAATATTAAAATTTAAAATTGACAAGAAGTTTCAGAATTGAATTAAGGATATTAATCCTCAAATTGAAAAATTATAGAACCCTTAGATATAAACAAACAGACAAAATGCATGACTAGTATATCACAGACAAACTATAAAGCATCTTAAAACATATCACAGTACTCATAGGAATTAATCTCTCAATATACTAATGTATATTGATTCTTGAGTTTGACAAAAACACCTTTGAGCAATGTGATAAAATCCCTGTTGTTATAATTTCATATGTATGAAGGCTCTAGAGGACTGCCAAATTTCTGTGACAAGGCACAGACTGGACCTAGCTCTGCACACAGCCCTAGCCTCATAGTCTGTTGAGAGTGCAAGTGGTATCACTCTATTTATATATAAACTGTTGGCTAAACCTGAAACTAGCTACCAAGATACCCTGGGAAAGGACTGCCAGGGCTTGAGGAAAACCAATAACAGTGGTCACTGAAGGTTTCATGACTCCACAAGCAAGGGCCACCTGGCAGTGTCTCCTTCCCACCCCAGTATTACTTTATACTCATCTCTCATATAAAATGTAAAAACAGGGAAAACTTTTCATTTTACTATAATTACAGATTTGGTAATAAGTAAAAAATTGGATTTATAATATTCTATTTGTGGTTACTTTATTGATATTTAGTAACAATATTTTGAATTTTTTGGAGTCAAGAATTATTTGGCGACCACAATTTAATTTCCAAAAAGCTGATGTTTCTTTAATTAAACATTTGTCATTGTGTTCTAGATTTCATTGTGCTAGTCATTGAAAATGTGGTTACTCTTCAAAAGATTTTGTGTTCTAGCATGTGACAATTTTGTCCAAATGTGCTTTGACAGTTTTTTGTCCAAATGTGCTTTGATTGTGTATAAGAAAAGCATTAATTGTAGCATGTGCAATATGTGATTCATAAATCACTATATCATCATTAGTTGCATATTTTATATCTTTTATCCTAATATAAAAAAAGCTTAAGAAATCAACTGCTATTGTTGCATTTTTAATTCAGGTCTTATATTTCTAAGCAATTATGCTTTATATATTTCAAAATATATTAAACATTTGAATAAACATTGTAGTTGTGTAGCTGTAGACAGATTCACAGAATGCTTTAGGCCTAACCAGTGGCTCACTCTCATGCCCATCACTTGGCATTCCAAAGTAGCGCTGACCGTGAGAGTCTATCTGGGTTTTCCCTACGCATTCCTAGCAAAAAATGTAGCATTTTTTTTCTCCATGAAGAAGTAATTTTGAGTAAGTTTTCAATGTCTTCCTTCAAGCTAATATCATTCATTTTCTAAATAGAAAAGTTTCCAAGCTTTATGACATATAAAAGGATTGCAGCTATGAAATCTAGAAGCGATGCAGATGTATTTCTTATTTTTGTATTGATTTAGTAATTTCACTTGCAGACTTCTGCCTGTCGTTATTTTTAGAAGTCTATGTTTATCATTTTAAAAAGGATTATTACAATTTTGGATTTTCTTTATTTCTTAGTATGATGTGTTTGTTTTCCCCAAACTCACCAGGTGGCATGGAATTAAGTTTGGCTAACTACAATTATATTCTAAATTCTTATTACATTCTGACACAGTATGTAAACTTATTTTTTTAATTATCACTATTCTTTTTACCTAAAAATCTTCTATGTTTTTTCAAATGGAGTTAAATATAAAGAAACTCAAAATAAGTCATAGTTATGTTTTAATAAAGATAGAATATTATCAAAATTCATCCTCCATGAAACCACATGAATAACCAAAAAGAAATCAAGTGCTACTGGGAAGGAGGAAGATGGGAGCATACACTATGGATTCAAGTTCTAGATATTGATTATATAGACTTTAAAGGTTTTTTTAAAGGATAAAAATAAGAGACAAATGAACAGCCAGTAACTAGAAACATTTACGAATGCAAAATAAATACATTCTGAATAATTATAGATAATTATAAATAAAACAAAGACAGGTGATAAAATAATGTAGATCACCTACTTTTGCATTAAGTTTACAGTGTATGTTTTCCCTTCAATTAAAATGTTGTAGGACACCTAGCAAGAGAGCATTTTAAAAAGACAAAGAAAAATATTAGAAAGAAGAACTATCATTTTATATTAATGACAATTAATTCTAAAACACACAAATACAATAAAAAAGAAATTTTATAATTTAATATGGATGTATTTCAATAGAATTTGATATTAAAATATTGGCTTTCATAATAAAAATGGGTGGAATAATATGATTTGTGTAATTTCTTATTTGTTAACTTCTAAAGTTATCCACTAAAATAGAACCTGAAAGATTATTTTCATCCAATAATTGTATCTCAATAAAGATTGATACCATTACAAAACTATCTAAAATGGAAGAATGTAACTAAATTACTCAATAAGAAATTTATATAGTAGAGCAAAGAATTAATAGCACATAGTATATATTTGTAGATTTTATGTCTGTTTCAAGTTTATAAAATAGTCATTGATATATTTTATTAATATTAGGCTTAGGAAATGATGTCTAGAAGATGGAAAATTTCATCTTTATAGATGAATTTGGAGAACCTTGACATCATTACATCATTGAACATTCCAATGCATGAGCATGGGATAATTCAATTTATTTAGGTCCTTAACTCTTCTCATCTTTTTTTGGTGTCTTCAATGAGGAGGTTTGCTTATTATTGTTAGATTTATTTACATGTTGATTTTTACAAAGTGTAAACTGAAACTTTTTAAAAATTTCATTTATATTTTTGTTTTGCAGACTAGAAATACAATTAATTTTTTTTATTTTATTCTTGTTTCTGGAAAACTTACTGAATTATTTTGTTATTTTAAATTTTATCTAGATTATTTTGGATTTAATTTTGCAAACAATCATTTTATCTGTAAATAATAATAGTGTCATTTCTATTTTTTCGATTATTAAGCCTATTTTAAATTTTTTTTTCTCTCCTTATCGAACTGGCTACTACGTCCAGGACAAAGATAAATAGAAAATATAATAGGGTGCATCACTGTCTCTTTCTTGATCTCAGGAGGAAAGCCTTCAATATTTCAACTTTATGCATGATTTTTTTTTCAAAGGCATTTGAACTTCTCTATAAGCCACCAATGACTATTATTTTAATCATTACATGTTTCAGGGATAGAAACATTAAAGAAAACTATATGAAATGACTTGTCACCAATTTTTACATTAAAAATAAAAATATTACAAGCATTTGAAAACAATTTTAAGTATTCTCAGTGCCACTCCCAGAGTTACTTCCGTTTCTCACACTCTAGCTAACATCCTGAATTTTATATTTATTATTTCCTATATATTTTTATATTTATACTAATTATGGGTATTTAAGTAATGGTTTTGTTTTGCATAAATTTTATCTTTAACTGACGTAGTCCTCTACAAGTTAAATATTTCACTGCTGAATCACATCTGGTGCTTAAAACACTCCCTCAGACATCGTAAGCATACAAACATTTGCTATTATCATCACCAATACATGTAGCTTTATCATGAATTTCTTTGTGGTATAATATTCTATTTTTTAAATATAGCACAATTTATTCATCTATACTGTTATGGATGTTTAGTTCTTTTTTTTTTTTACTATTTTAAGCAAAACTCCAACAATAATCTTGGACGTGTCTCCTTATGAATATTCGTTACGTTTATGTTAAACTAAACCGATGAGCGGACTTATTTTATTAAAAGATAAGTACTTACACAACTTCACTTGAAATTTACAATTAATCTTCAAATTCATTGTACTAATGTCGGCATTCATGAACAGTAAATATTATCCTTTTATTCATATCCTATCATATCATATTTTGTTTTGTTAAATTTGTCATTAATGACATAAAATAGTACCCTATTGTGTTTATTTGACAATTCCCTGTAAATGTCTCAATTTGTATATTTGATTTTTCTGTTACTCAAGTTTAATAATTAATTAACTTTGTACATGTTTCTATTTTGTTGTTTGTTTTTTATATTATTGATTTGTATGAATACTTGATATATTCTGAATATTCTTTGCGTGTTGTATTATATAGATTGCACATGTGAGTCTGGAACCTTTTACACTTTGTTTATGGTAGCTATTTATTTATGTAGTTACATCTAGATGTCCCTTAGTCTTTATCTTAAGAATTTGTGCTTTTTTTTTTTTTGGTTCAATCCTTCCTTATTATAAAATAGATTATAAAATAATCTTCTCTTGCCTTCTAAATGTTTACTATTTTACTCTCGATGTATGCTTTTAAATTATCGTAAATAATTTTGGTGTATAATGTGGCATTAATGTAGTTTATTATTATTCTATATTGTTAATTAACTGCTTTTCACCATTTATTAACTAGCCCATTCTTTATTCAGTGATTTCAATGCTACCATTGCATTGAAAAGTTTTTTTATATGTGTGGTTATTTCGGAGGTGCTCTATTCAGTTCTATTAATTTATTAGTCGGTCTTTAGACAATATATTATATTATTTACTAAAATTTTAAAATATACTTTGATGTGAATCACCTTTTTATTTTCCAAAATAAACAATTTTTGACCTTTTATCATTCCATATGAATGTTAGAATCAACCTGCCATTCTCCATGAAATTCCTTATTGGAACTGTAGTCAATCTATAGATTTGAAAAGTAACCTCAGAAAATACTTAGTATTCTTCACTGACAACATGATCTATCTCTCCAATTTTATCAGTGGTTCAATAAAACTATATCCTAAAGAGGTCTTATATTTATTGGTAATTAAGTCATTTGTAGCAAAAGTGTGTATTTCATATATGTGTATATGTATATATACACACATGCATACATGTATATGTATATATACAATACTCACACTTTATCAAAAATATGAATTATTTACCCATAAATATTATTAAATATGTGTGTAAATATATATCTATATATGTTTGTTTATGTTTTCTCTTATTTTTGTTCTATATTTTTCCTTATTTTTAATATTTGAGTGTTTTATACTTTTTCCTCATCTTACTCCTTGGTTATAATATTAACTGTAATGTTGAAAAGAAAAGGTCATAATAGCCATCCTTCTTTCATTCATAAGTCAAAGAAATTCTATTTATGATTTATTATTAGTTTTACTATTAAGAAGATACTTTTGTACGCAGATTCAAATTTTTTTAAGTCTTGGTCATTTCCCCATTTCCTATGAGTTTGTTATTCTATAAAATTTCTTATCTCTTCAAGGTTTTCAAGTTTCTTGAAACATTTATTCATTTTTTTACTTTTAAAATTTCTATTCTATATATCACTGTGTCAACTTTTCCACCCTTATTAGTAATCTTCTTTATACTTTTATTTTGTGTTGCCTTAAAACTATTTTTGCCTGATAAAAATATAGTTAACAAGCTCATTGTTGGTTACAATTTGGTATAATTTTACTTATTTTTGTGTTAGAATTCTATTTTCATATAATTTAGGTGTTTCTCACATATTTTTAAATTGAATTTGAAATATATCATTTATGATAAATTTAACCAATTAATTTTTATTTAACAGTTTTATTTAAATTTTATTTTGCTTATTAGATTGAGACACATACTTTTCTATTATTTTACTTGTTATAATTTCAATTGTACATTCAATTTGTTTTAAGTTATACATATACACTACTTTTTAACTAGCTCCTGTTTTTGTTATTCTTTGGTTTAGTTTCAGTTTCTACCTTCTGAAGTACTTAATGATTTTTTTCTCTTGTAACTGAAAATTATTCACATACCCTAATTTCTGAATGAAATTTCATTTGAATAATACTATAATACAAAATTATTTAAATTAAGAAAATCAAAGCTTTTATTTCACTATTGTCTCATCTCTGTTGTTGTTTTTGAAAGTTTATTAGTGTATTTATTATTTCGATGTGAGGATCTTTTACTTGGCTGCCTTTAAGATATTTTCTTTGCTTTGGTATTCTGATTTCAGCCGGTCAAGTTTTACTTGATTTTTATATACTCAATGCTGTGATACCTGGTCTGAGGATTCTTTTAAAAATATTTCTCAGTTAATATATGTTTAATATAACCTTTTCAGGTTTTTTATTTCTCTTTTTCAGGAATTCCAAATATTCTATACTTGAGCCTCTAATTCTATCCTACTTTTCCCCTTAGCCATTTATATGTTGCATCTATTTAGTCTCTTCAGCTGTCCCTGGTCTACTGTTAATTCTTGATTTTTTTTTTTTTTACTTTCATACTATATTTTTCATATCTAGAAGTTTCATTTAGTTATTTTTTAAAAAGTTTCTAGTTTTTTGAAGTTGAATATTCTCTTCTATGATCTCTATTCTTTCTTTGTTAATTATAATAATTATAAACATATACTGTTTCATATTGTTTGTAGCATTTGTTGAATCAAGAAATACAATATGCTTATTGATTCAAAAAATACTACTAGCCCCTTAATATATTTTTAGCACTGTTCTAAGCACTGGAGATAGAGACATTAACAAAATAGTCAAATTTTTTTCCTCACGAATTTGACAGTTGAGACAGGCCATTTTTATTCAACAGTCTTATAGGAATTACTATCAGAACCTAGTGGTGCCTGGCTGAAGATATTGCCCTCTAAGTAGATTCTGTGTATATTTTCTAATATGACCTAGCAATTACTCACATTTTTGCATGAAAGATAAAACTTTTTAAAAATACTGTTAAATGCTTCATCTGTTATTTTTCTATTTAAATAATTAAACTTGAAATTCTCATAAACACTCATCTTTGAAATGATACATTGCAAATTTTACGCTTGTAATATCCGCCTAAGTGTGACAAGTGGGTAGTTGCTAAGGAAGTGTTTGCATTCAAATTACCAGAACATTTACTACCCCGCTAAAAGAAAATTAAGGAGGGGAGATGTATCAAAACACATTTCATTTCTTTAGAAATGGTTCTAGAAATCAGTAAAAATTTAAAGACAAAAAGAGAAAAATTAATAACCTGAACCAAGATGAACTAAGATGGCATGAAAAGAACAGTCTTAATGATTGACATATTTGCAATCGAAATGCAAAAATCATTCACGTAACACTTCATTAAATCAAATGGCCATCACCTCACATAAGGAATCCATAAGCTTACTTAACAACAATAACAATTCTTTCCAAATACAGTTTGCTGATTGAGTGAGGAGAGAACCTAGCTGGATCAGTCAATGATTATTCAAACACTCAAAGGGGAAACAAATTTAAAAGATGGGACTTAGGGTTTTGATAATAGGCATCACTGCACCATATGTCTATAAAACATTGTTAATCTTGGTTCATTTTCAAAAGGCTTTTTTACTTAAGACAAATTGAATATAAATATAAAATTCAGCAAGTGTGCATGGATGAAAAATGTCAGGTTTACTTCTTAGTAACAAAATAGTCACACTGTATTTAGATCGTGAAAAATGTTAGTGCTTAATTACATGTGATTCAACTCCTTCACTTGTTAGTGACCGTATTTTCTCTGGAATTGTAATTTGCACACGTAGTCGTTGAGAATCTGCAAGGTGCAAAATGTTTCATTAGAGCAACACCCACTGCCTCATAGCTTCCTTCGTTATTTCCTCATCTAAAATTCATAATGTTCTATATGCCACTGCTTATTTTTATTATCTTTTCAAGTACCCTAGATTCACAGTCTTTCACTGATTACAAGACTTTGTAAAGAGTACATTGCTTTAGAAAAATTAATTTGTGGGTAGGTTGTGGTAATCCTGACGCAATAGGACCAAGCACTCTCAGTACTAATAAACTCAGGTTCTTTCGACCTTCCAACTACAAGATCCAGAGGTCAAAAATGCAGAGCATGAAACACTAATCCGGAAGCATCTAATCAAGCCATGCATGGCATTTCTCATCTTTTCTACGGTCCCAAAATGAGCGGGAAAGCCCCCTCACATCCAATGTGCATATAGGTTGAAGAAGGTGGCAATGTGGGAGTGGGTTAGAGCTTACAGAGTTGCCTCCCCAGCAAGAAAGCACTTTCCAGGGGCTATCCAGCCTCTCAGAGGAACCCCAGAGGAGAGTTGACAACCTTGACAGGTCAGAGGAGGGGTTTTTGTACTTACCATGGTCTGTCTGGATCTCGATGAGCCCGATGAGCAGAAGGAGAAAGCACAGCATGGCTTGACGTCCTGGATCCCAGCCGTAATAATGGCAGTTGGCTTAGCTAGAAGGCAGTTGGAAGCGCGAGGAGCCCCTTGACAGAGGCAGATGACCGTGCAAGCAATGGGGGATGGGGAGGATCGGTTCGCTGTTGAATGTGGGCGGGTTTGGCCCCTAAATATATGCAGTAGGAGGCTTCGACTCAGTTTGAAGTCGCCTTGAAGCTAAAAAAAGACCAAAATCACTCTCAAAGGACATGTTTGATGAACTATGAACTAATGATGAGCTAATGAACAGGAAGATTTGTATATAATTGAAGTTACATAAACATATTTTCTACAAACCATAGACACACAGCTCAACTAATATTCAAGTGAACAAACCAGTATAATTAGCACCTATATTCAGATCAAGAAATAAAATGTAGAACCACCATGGTGGCCCTCAGACAAGAGTTACTTCTAATATCATAGATTAATTTTGTCTGGTTTTGAACTTTACATGAATGGAATCAATCACCATGTACTTTTTTATGTTCTCTTAATATGGTGATTATAAGATCTAAACATATTGTAAGTAGCAATAGTTTTGTTTTTCCCTTGTTTTCGTATATTACACATTGAATGAATATAACACCATCTGTTTTTCCATTTTACTGTTAAAATTTGGTCCATTTACAGTTGCAGCTATTAAAAATCATATTTAGCTATTTTATTTCTTGTACATGTCATTTGGTGAACATATTAGTGAATTTTATTGAATATATTACTAGAGTGAAGCTGCTTGATCAGAGTATGCTTTAGTAGAGTTTCCCAAGACTGTTGTACAAATTTGTAATCCCATTTGTCATGTATTAGAATTACACTTTACATCAATGACTACACTTGTTTTTTGTCTTTTATTTCATTTTATTCATTCTGGTGGACCTGTAGATGTCCTGAATTTTGGTTTTAATTTGCATTTCATCATTGTTAATCATTAAGTTAATTTTTAATTATTAATTATTAAGTCAGAAATTAATTTAACACAGTTTTATGTGTTTATTGGCCATTTATATAGCTTCTTTTGTAAATGTTTATTTGAGACTTTGGTCTGTTTGCAGATTGAGTAGCCTTTTTTCATTCTTGTAGTACATAAAATCTATTAATGTATTCTAGATATGATTCCTTTGTTGAATATAATTGCAAATATGTTCTGTACCAGGGCTTACATTCAATAAATTTTTGTAGATATATATTTATATTCAGAAATTTACTTTTTTCTCATATTTTTTTGGAATTTTATGATATGTATCTTCTGGATATTGAATTTTATAAATTGAGGTGTTCACATAGTTTTCTCCATTTTCTGTTAATGTTGTAAATTAAAATTATTGATTTCCAGTATTAAAACAAACTTGTATTCCTGGGATATACTCTATTTGGTCATGATGTATTATATTTTTATATTTTGCTGCATTGATTTGCCAGGATTTTGTTTAGGATTTCTGCATCAATATTTTTATAAGAAGTATTTGTCTGTAATTTTCTTTTATTGTAACTTATTGTCAAGTTTTGTATCAGAGATATACTGATCTCATTTAAAAAATTGGAAAATGTTATCCCATCCTTTATTCTTTGAAAGAGTTAGTGTTATTTTGTGAATATTTCTTCCTTTAATGTTTTTTAGAATCTAGAAATAGAGTGATTTGGGCTTAGAATTTTCTGAGTTTTTTTTTTTTTTTTTTACTTACAAATCTAACTTATATTCAGATATTCTCTTTTGTTTATGTGTTAAAGAAAGTTCAGTTTCCAACAGAGTTTGTACATTTCTTCTGAGATGTTAGATATATAGCCAAAGTTGTTCAAAACACCTTTCCCTCCTTTATCATCTTTTTGAGCTCTGTGGAATCTGTAGAGATAGTCCTTTTTTTATTCTCAGTGTTGGTATTTTGTGATTTTCCTCTTTATTCATGATAAAATGTTCTTGGAATTTACTGTTTTTGTTAACTTTATAAAAAAATTGGTTTTGAATTTATTTTTTTCTATTATATGTTTATTTTCTATTTCATTGATTTTTGCTTTTGTGTTCATTTCCTTTTTTCAAATTTGGGTGTAATTTGTTTTCTAGCTCCTAGGAATTGAAGTTTATCTTATTAATTTAATAAGATATTAAGATATATACGCATTTAAAACTATAAATTTCATCTAATTTACTACCAAATTTAAATGTACTGTATTTATCATATTATATTTTGACATATCTAATTTCCATTAATATTCAGTTTAAAATATTTTTTTATTTTCATAATGATTTCTTTTATGCCCATGTATTATTTAAATTCCATACATTTAAGAGTGTTCCAATTACATTCTTCTTATTAATATTTAATTTAATTCCATTGTAGTCTCAGTCATACTCTGAATGAGTTTAAGTCATTTCAACTCACTTTGAGACAAGATTTATTCTCCATTAGACAGTTCATTAGAGATAGATGGCTCCATGTAAATTTTAAAAGAATGTGGATTAGTTAATTGTGAGTTATTCAACAAATGTCAATTAAGTCAAATTGGATAATAGAGTTTCAAATATTTTATATCATTGCTGCTTCTTGTGTCTGCTTATTCTTTTGATATAGTCAACTTAAATAGTAGATTTTTCTATAACTCTTTGTGTTCTATCAATTTGTGATTATTGTATTTCATTCTTGTATTTAATCAGTCATTTTGTAATTTTCCAGGTAGCAGAACAAACAACTAGGCCATTCTCAACAGCCAAGTCAGAAAATTTATAGAAGGGTTACTAAAGGGAGTACTAATCAAAGCAAGGAGAATGGCCTTAAGTGTGTGTGTGTGTGTATAAAACATATAATATATAATAATAATTTAATATATAATCATTTAAATTATTATATATTATATTAAATTGCATATTAATATATAATAACAATATATACACATA